AAATTTTGTGGATATATACTACTATAGGTACCCTACATACTGGCACACTCAAAGCCATATTTGGACGTGTTAGGCAGTATAGAGAGTTTTCATAGGTCCTAGATATAAACTTTACCTTGTGATCGGGCTTTCTATCGCTTATGAGCGACTTATGAGCTCGGGCTTTGGAATTAAGTACTAGTGACCTGTAGCTATTGGTAGCAATTTTCAAAATCTTGGCCTTTTGATTTTGGTCCGGACGAAAACCTATTCGAATACGTATGTAAGTCATTCTGCATACCGTCATGATCGACTCGCGCAAAAGCTACTCCACTGATGGTTGCTAATTTGGCTACTTTTTTGTATATGCCATAAAGAGGCAACTATTTGATGAATTTCTACACAAACTGTTCAAAAAAAGATTGAACCGTTCTCAAGATATTGAAATTTTCCTAGGAGTATCACTGCTAAAACTAGCATAATGGAAGATATATATGGAGTCGTTGAAAAATTTCTAAAAAAATCTCATCACATGGGATAGAATCTATCTAGTATAAATCATCACATTAACCTCTGTTTGTTTCCATAAAAAAGTCCTTTGGAAATGACAAAAAAATTTTTTCGAAAAAATCCCTGTAGGGGGGTACAGGAATTTTCAGATTGGGCGAAATCCCTGTACCCCCTACAGGGATTTTTTCGAAAATTTTTTTTTGTCATTTCCAAAGGACTTTTTTATGGAAACAAACAGAGGTTAATGTGATGATTTATACTAGATAGATTCTATCCCATGTGATGAGATTTTTTTAGAAATTTTTTAACGACTTCGTATGTATTTCCTACAGGCACAAAATATGCTATTTTTAGCAATGATGCTTTCAGAAAAATTTCAATATCTTGAGAATGGTAAAATATTTTTTTGAACGGTTTGTGTAGAAATTCATCAAATAGTTGCCTCTATGTGGTATATACAAAAAACTAACCAAATTGGCAACCATCGGTGGAGTAGCTTTTGCGCGAGTCGATCATGACGGTATGCAGAATGGCTTACATACGTATTCGAATAGGTTTTTGTCCAGACCAAAATCAAAAGGCCAAGATTTTGAAAATTGCTACCAATAGCTACAGGTCACTAGTACTTAATTCCAAAGCCCGAGCTCATAAGTCGCTCATAAGCGATAGAAAGCCCAATCACAAGGTAGAGAGGGTATCTATAACCTATGAAATCTCGCTATATTGTCCAATACGCCCAATAATGGTTTTGAGTGTACCAATATGTAGGGTACTTATGGTAGTATATACCTACAAAATTTTAGCTCGAAAAACACTGTTGTTGATGAATGACGAAATACACAATGTATATGGCCTGCATCAATCATAGTCATTTTTTACCTGAGGGTGCCTCTATTGTGAATTGAATATCTCAACAAAGGAAAGATTTCAGAAGCTGAAATTTTTAGCGTTTTCATAACTCACTTAGGACTACATACTGACAAAACTTCATTGAAATCTGAGACATCGATTGAGCACGATGTGTGGTCGCTTTCGTGCATTGACCCCTAAGGAGACTCAATATATGACAGCGAAAGCTGACGAAACTCCTAGTATGAATGAATACATAAAAAATAGAAGACATTGAGCGTTTTGCGACTTCTTTTTACATACACTCTGACGAGAGGACTGGCTAAAAGTCTTCAAGAATGCCACTGTTGAGAATGGGACAGGATAATTGATTTAATCAAGTCAATGTATCTCGTGATGATAGAGCCTTGCTTTGCAATAGGAAATATGATATTCAAATGATAGACACGGAATAAGAAGTTTAAAAGTTCGAAAAAAGCTGTTAGCGCAATCCCTTGCGTGATTAAACATGTGCAACACGATGTAGTTGCCATAGTCGATGTTCTAAAAGTTGTTATTTTTTTATGCATATTGGAATACATTCCTTCATAATGGTTTACTTTACATTATGCACTTTGAACCGGATAATATTCCATATATGCTCCAATCATATGTTAGTTATACATTATCACTGGTATTTGCTTGAAGTCTTCTGTCAGTTTATAATGACCCCTGGGCTCTATCTATCATGATCTATGACACGCCCAGAGACCTGTCTGTCACGGTCTGTGATGGGTTCGGAGACCTGTCTGTGACGCGTGCAAAGCCTGTCTGTCACGGGCTGCGATGGGTCCAGAGCCTTGTCTGTCACGGTCTGTAATGGATCCAAAGACCTGTCTGTCACGATCTGTGATGGATCACGTGAGTGTCTGTCACGGTCTGTGGGGAAGGGAGGGGGTGGGTGCAAATTTCTACTCCTAAACACTTCAACACTCCTTTCAGGTCCTGTTTCACAAAATCTCAGAAATTTAAAAAACCCCAAAAAATCCGAAAAAATCTCAAAAAATCCCAAAAAATCAAAAAAACCCCAAAACCCCGAAAAATCCCGAAAATCCTAAAAATTCCGAAAAAATCCAGGAAAAACCCAAAAAATCTTCTTTGGGTTTTAGAATCTGTAAAATCCCAAATCCGCTATTTCCCCCTTGGTATTGGATAACACCAGCACCAAATGAACTCATTATCCCACTTCGTTTATTCTAACTTGAGAATTTTCTAGATAATCCTAACCAGAAAGTCATTTGAGGAGAAACACTGTTTTTCCAAATCCTACCGACGCGAATTTTGTTGATATCATAAAAACAGCTGTTATCTAATTAGAACTATTCGCTCTGAAGACAATATCCTAAGCAAATTCTTCGCCAAAACTCAGTTGAAGAGAAATTCCTCTACGAAAATTTCCTGAAGCACTTTTTATCTGTATAATATCATTTCTAATTTTCAACGAGGTCAAAACCTCTTCAAATAGTAAAAGAACATAATGTTGAACGGTCTTTTTTCTACATGGAACCTCACAAAGTTGATTATCACCTTCTGCTACAGACGTTTTGCGACAAGAGTGACTTTACAATATTTAATATTTGTTAGTCATTTCATACAGAATTTTGGAACATTTTTGCGAATAGAAAAATAATTACTATGATACGAAAAAAAATAATAATATAAGCTTAATGATAGTATTTAAGAATAGAAAAATTCACTGATTACTATTGATAAAAAACGCTCTCTGAAGAAAATGCAATGTGAAAATACATACGTTTGCTCTCTGTATTATACGAAGTCTTGTGTGCTGACGACCAGAATAACACTAATATATTGACGTTGTTTTATGTTAGAGATAAAAACAAGACGTGGCTTATATGTACATCACTAATATAAGTTTGGCTTGTGTGCTTTCATTCGCGCCCTTCAAATAACTAATCATCAAATATAATTGAGATACCTTGTTTATTTCATACAAGCATTATCGTCTTTTTGCTTGTTCGATCATTTATGATGACATATTGATGAGATATCTGACTTTTTTTCTCCATAAAGATATCATCGTCGTTTTGCTTATTCTATCATTAATTAAGATATTTTAATGAGATACACGATTTTTTTCACATAAAAATATTATCGTCATTTTGCTCGTTCTATTACTCATCGTTCGAACAGCTTGAAGGATGCAAAATAGCGTGAATCGAAGGCAGAAAAATTATGCACTATAACACTACTTTAGTTGATTTTTTGCCATCGTTGCACGGTATAAATTAAATATTAGCATTTCACAAGCAATACTATAAGGCTCAGATATTCCTTCCACATATGCGAGAAGATATTGGCTTTTGACATTACTTCTAGAAGCGTTTCATGTCCGTGAACATATATTTGGTCAAAGATCGAGACCCGGATGCATTTTTGACCTCGGTATCAATATTAGTTCTCTTCTAGAATCGTTCTCGGTCAGAGCATCGACTCGAACCTGTGTTTCAATATATGTCTCGGCCACTATCTTCGTTCACATTTCCATCCTCGTCACCGTGTATATCTTTGTTCCGATTACGATTGCTATTCCCGTCATGGTTTCCATAAATTTTGCACTTCAAGTCGTCATCCTGCTACCAACCTCAGTAGGCATTCAACTTCAGAGGATGGGTGTGGGTGGGGGTGTGGGTGTGGGTGTGGGGTGTGAGTGTGGGTATAGATAAAGAAAAAGAACACACCCACACCCACACCCATTCACACACCCATATCCACACACCCACACCCACGCCCACCCACACACCCATATCCAAACACCCATATCCACACCCACATCCAAACCCACACCCACACCCACACCCACACCCACACCCACACCCACACCCACATTTTAATCCCATAGAGATTAAGCTAACAGCTTTTTCGTCGAAACATTCGTCAAGCGGCTTAAAATTTTAGAATACAATACATAAATGCATATCTATCCACTTTTCTGAGCACACAATTGTTTCAAATGGAATCGTCCGTAGTAATTCAGCCAAACACTTTAATAACAGCAGTCATGGCAAGACATTTGCAACTTAATAAATACAAAATCGATTCAAAATGTAAATGAAGATGTTGTGAAAATACAAGTCACGGATTGAGAGTAACTGCAATCATACTAAAGTCTTTAACTCAGAAGATGTAGAAATGACTGAAAATCACAGTCGTATAATAGAACACCTTTGAGCTTGGAAAAGATTCACTAATGATAAAATAGAGGCACTCGTCAAAATTTGATTATTGTTTCAATAAATGTCTCATGAGCGTCACAGAAGATTGTCTCTTTATAGTCGAGTATTGTAGGAGACGGATCCACATCAAGCGAAAATTATGCGCAAGAACTTCAGATGACTGTTAGTCGAATGACATTTCAATGATTCGCGTCAATGATAAATATCTCGTTCGAAATATAGGACATCCAACTCTACTGGCCTGCACTCTCCTAATATTGAAATAATAATGAGCTCTACCAAACGATGTTTTACTCTTCTATCAATACTCCATCTCATCGTTTTCACCTCTTATCTGTGCTATGTAAAAAGAGCCAGTTGATAAGAAAGAGATGCCTATATATATTACCCTTGATAATATTTTTTTTTCATTTGTATTTGACACTAATGATGGTTAAAAAAATTCTTATTACTGGTGCATCCGGTTTCATTGGTGGTATACTAGTTGAACATCTATCAAAGAATTCCAACTATGATGTCTATGGTATCGATAAACATATTGGATTATCATCACGTTATCAATTAGAAAATACATCAATATCCGAAGGACAGCAACCAATATTACCACCAAAAGAAAAATTCTATGTTTGTGATATTACCGATAGAAATCAACTTTTACATATTATTCAAGATAATCAAATCAATATTATTATTCATTTAGCAGCAGTTTTAGACGCGGAAACGGTTGAAAAAATTAATTACATTAATTGTGATGGTACTAAAATTCTATTTGATATAGCAACACAACAAGATCATGTTGAAATGATCATTTATGCCAGTTCAGGCTTGACCGTTGCTGGTTATTTTGAAAATGAACCTTATTCATCATTAATAAAAAATATTATACAAAAGGAACCATTTAAAAAATTAACAATAAATGATCCTCCGATACCATCGCACGTAAATCCATCTAGGGAAGCATATTGTAATAGTAAAATATATGGGGAACAATTAGCTAGACAATACTCATCAAGTGATGGAATAAATATTAAATTTGTTTGTGCAAGATTTGGTTGGATAAATACAGCTGATACTATTAAAATGGATAGTTTCAATTCTGATTGGTGTAGTCATCGTGATTTATGTCAATTTATTGATCGAGTATTAGAAAATCAATTGAAACTAAAAAGGTTTCAAATTTATTTCGTTACTTCAAATACTGATTTTTGTTGGTTGGATACGGGGAATTGTCGAGAAGATTTAAATTATGTGCCACAAGATGGAGCTCGATGGAATCAGCTACTAACGAAAATGTGACCTCAGCCATTTTTTGTTCATTGTACTTTATAAAATAAACCTTTTAGAGTACCAAAAATCGGTTTTAAACATCATCGAGAATAGTTAAAATAGCAACTTTCGTAACCATTAGTTAACGATAGGTTTTCGGATTGAGTTTAGGATTGAAAATGAAGCAAAAGTCATTCGGATAGCCTGCAGAATTCTCTACAACTCCATATATAAACATTTGGAATTGCATTTGTTCCATTAAAATAAATTCGAATATAGTAAAGGCACTCTCATCATCAGATTCCCCGAAAATGTACTTTTTCTTTCTTTAAACGTGGAACAAGTTATTACAAGTGTAAGTACCCGGTGGGCCAAAAGTAAGGAAACAAAAAGGGTATGCTATAATAAAGGATAATAAATTGTTAATGATATTTTTCATACCTTATATTGATGTAGAGAGCTAAAATTTTTATCACATATATATCTAGTTAAGATCTTTTATGTCTGAAAGTTTCAGCTTTCCACATCAATAAAAAGTGTAAAAAAGATCATTAACAATCTATTATCCATTATTATAGCATACCATTTTTGTTTCCTTACTTTTGGCCCAACCGGTATATATTCTGAAGGCACGTGAAATTCTCTATCACCCTGTATTTTTGCTAATATTGACTTGCGATTGTTTGATGACAAATGTTTCGAGTATTGCTCATCTTCTCTCACTCTCGATTATAACCTGCACGAACTCATACAACAGCCCATGAATGATTATCTACTAAACAAGTAAGAGGTATGAATAATTAACAAGTTAACCCTTAAGAGCCGGAAGGCCTTATTGCTGCAAATTGAACAAACTAATTGCTAAAATAAAAAGTCCAGTGCTTCAATAAGAATTATTGATAGTTAAAAAAAAAAGTTTTTTTTTCTTACGGAGGTATAAAATGTCCTCTGGAAGGGACATTCGGTCTTAACGGTCCAAATTCATCGCTATTCTGAATCTATGTATGAAAAATGTTTTCAAGTGAATAACTTTATTTATTTTGTTGTAAACACAATAAATTAATAGAGAGTAATATGTCCAATAACTTTTTAACAAAAAGAAAACAAAGTTAAGATACATATTTTAAATGACAAACATTTATGTCCATAATAGAAACTTATTTAGGAGTATGATATTCAGTGAAACAATTTTTGTTTGAATTAAGGCATAAATGGACCTTACATTTGGAGCATTGCCAATATGTTTTTCCAGAACAGTTTTCATTCTTACATCGAGTACTGTTAAGAGCAGAAATAAATAAAGGCCAATGATCAGAACTATCATATCGTACTACATTTGTTACACTGGACCTGGCTTCACGTAGTTTTTTTGTTGGTGGTTCATTTTCTTCATCACTTCGATAAACATTTATTGATGAACTAATAGCTGCTGTTGGGAATATTTGAATATTTAGTTTTGTTAATAGAAATTTTGCTATTTCAGATTTGAAATGAAATAATCTAAATTTTCCATGACTTGTAGAACTATAACGATCATCACCACTAAGACGAGAATTCATGATAATCCAAGAGTTGATAAGCATGACATCTAAAATTCTCCATATAATTCTGAAATACCAACGTTTGGATTTGAATGGGATGGGGTGTAAGGCTATCAGCATGTCCATACTGTCGACTCCTCCCATGAATTTATTATAATTATTAATAATTTGAGGAGCTGTAACATCAACTCGACACCGTTTTTCTTTATCCCAACGTTTTAATACTGTTACTGGTTCTATACCTATATGATTGTAGCCGTCTTCGACGGCAGGCGCTATCACAATTCTAAGTCATGCCCATAGTTATGTCAGAAAACATCATAAGGAATGGGTAAACGAATAAAATTTGGTGATTTTTCTTTTCGTTTGCTCGGACAGAAAAGAAACAGAGTAATAGATGCGTTTGTTTACAAAAGCGCACATATAATCATGTTAAAAAGTTACACTTTTCAAAAAAACAAATTTAAAAGCATTTACTCTATCAGTTTACTTTTGTCAACCAAAAAAATGTTTTTTTTGACGTATGAAAATATATAGTTTCTCTGTGTAAAACGTCGATTTTTCGCTACTTATCCGACTGGGTACCCTAGTCGAACTTCTTGTGACATGCGCATGAAAAACATGAACATCCTGAGCAAGAACGTCATGCGATATGGACACATCTTGAAAACTGACTGGATCAAGAATGGGTGAAAAAAAGTTCGACTAGGGTAATTTCTTAGAAACTATTAGAAGGTCTTGTAATATCGCAACACCAAGTAGAATAAGAAACCTTGCGTGAAGTTTTTTAATCCATAGGTTTTCACTGAGCAGAATCATCTGCATGTTGCTAAATTGCTATACATGAGATCAACGTTTTCTATGAGCAATTCTTAGCGCACGCATGATTGAGACAATCGTTTTGTTAATTGTAAAGCTACCAAGAACTAATGATTACCCTAATTATCTTAAGCAACACTCTATTTGCGAATAGATGTGTAAGTCGACGCCTCGATTAGCGGCAGCTCAAAATTTTCAAGCGCTTCTTTCAAAAATGTTCTTAATTTTAATAAATTTTGTAACAGGCAAAGGAAAAGTAATAATATAATATAAAACGTTCTTATTATGAGTTAGATTAGAAGACTCTTAAAAATGGATCCTAAACACCGAAAATATTCAAAAAATTGAACATTTCTGTTTATATGACGGCGGCGATGGCAGCTCAACCGCTCGGCTTATACCTCTACTTATAAACGCTCCGTGTTTATCGCGAAATTAAGAAAAACAATATGGAGAATACTGTAAAGTAATTTCTAGGAAAAACTTATGCATTCGAAGACTCATCCGCCACCTCTTTCAGCTCTCTTTTTGTCATTCGAAAATTTTTCAATCTCTCCTAGATTGACAACGCTCCGCCGCCTATGGTCCCGATTCAAAATCGTTCCAACACCTGGGAATGTTCTCTCGTTAGCCAGAGATGACTTGGAGTTTTGTTCCCCTGTTCCCTTCATGAAAAAAACAACAATCCAAAATAAGAAATCATTTAGCATTGATAGGAATGCTTTAGGATTTAATCCAAAACCTTCAAGATTTCGTATTTTCCATGCAGGACATTCTTTATTGTATTTTCGTATTTTGATTGACTTTAACTTTAAAATATTTTTTTGCTTTTATAGTTATATGTTCGTTTTTTTCTACTTTCTTTACATTATACTAGTGGTTATTAAGAAAATATATCCGATGATTTTAGTACTACAACAACTATTTTTCCGTGGACAAATAGTTATTGATTAATTGTTGTAGCCTCTGTGAAAGTACACATGCTTCTTCGTTGACACCATACATTTTTTTTTCTGATAGTCGATAGTGAAAAATAGCAAATTTTATAACAGTATGGGTTCCAGGAATACAGTCAAGACCGGAATCCTTTGGAGTCCTCGGAGTTCCGCGAAGTCCCGGAATCCGCTGTTTCTCCCTTGATATGAACACAAATTTTAACGATGACATAGTAGACAGTTGTCACCATGTTTCATTCGTAAGACTTCCACAAATAAAAAATGCTGATCATCTCTATTGATGAAAAGTTTCAAAGAAACATAGACAGTAGCGACATATAATCATTGTTAATCGATTGATAAAAATTGTTCAAATTATAATATATATTTATCTCAATAAAGATCTCTAGTATTTTCTCGCTTCAGACATGTTCCTAATATAAAACAAATCGCTTAATTGCGCACAAATAATTATAGTAGGGATGGAAGAAATAGCAGTGATACACTCACTCGCCGAGTCACTGCGAGTTACTTTTGTCGTTGTGTTGTTGTACGATATCATGTGTGAGGAAGAAAATTCATTTTCGTGTGTATATAAGAGATAGAACGAAAGAAAATTCATTTTCTTTCGCATGGATGACATCATATAACAACAGAACGACAAAAGTGACTCGCAGTGACTCGACGAGTGAATGTGTCACTGTTATTTCTTCCATCCCTAGTGTAAATATTACGATGAATAAGAGTACTGGGTATTTTTGCAGATAATATAAAAATCATTTACAGTAACAATTATCTCTTGTATTTCATGTGTTGAAATAAACTATTATAAACATGAGCGACATTATACCAAGGACATTCTTTCGTCTTGAAGGTCTGCCAGATGAGATTTTACTTGAAATCTTTAAATACCTCAAACCAATTGATCTACTTAGTTTCAAAGGACACAATCAACGCCTTAATCGTATAATACGGGATGTAAAACTACATATTATTCTTCAATATTCAGAAGAAGATGATGAAATAGATCTCGATTATTTTATAAATTTTTCGCCGGAACAAGTCATCTGCTTAAAATTGCATTATGGTTGGAGAGCATTTGATTTAAATTTATTTCAAGAACTTCGCTCTCTAACATTGGATTGTACCTATCTCTCTAACAATCAATTAGATCAAGTAAGTCTAATGATGTAACAGCATCAATACATGGAATATCATTATAGGTATTTAGTATTAAGTTACAGCATCTTGAGCGTATTTCAATTGATAATGTCCCACATGATTTTCGCAAAGAATTATTACTTGTTATTCTTGATAATGAGCATTTTCCATCGCTCAAAATTTGTCAATTTACAGGAGAATTTTATTCGTGCGTTGAAATCGACGATCATTGTCAATTACCAAATAATACAATTCGTGCACTTATCCTCAGTCAATAGTATGGATATCAACTTGGTCCTCTGTTCAATCTTTTACCTAATTTACACCGATTTGAAACAAATTTTGATGAACCATTTAGCCGATCATTAAATTTAAATATGTCTCATATATCACTGATAGATCTACGAGTGACACTCAATGATCTACTGAATGATCTTGATGAAATGCTTCAATACACCCCTTATCTCAAACGATTGCGTGTCAAAGGAAAGATAAGTAAAGGTTCAGTTTTAGAACATTTTGAGAAATTGGCTAAGATTATTCATTCTCATACACATATTCTACAACGTTTTGATTGTGAACTATATTTTCATTCATGGAATGATCAAGTTGACATTATTGTTATACAACAACTTCATCCACTTTTCAAACAGATACAATGTCTGTTGGGAAAGAATATAAATCGATGTTACGCAACTGATTTAACAGAATATCCACCTGATAGCGAATATGCATGTGAGTATAGATTAATTGATCTCTTATTACTGTTTGCAATAGGAAAGCATTATTATTTCGTTCAATTTTCAAATGAGGCAGATTTGATTATTAATAGATTAATACTCTATATATATAGTTGATTCCTGAAAATCTCATGTATAAATCTATCACTTTGAATCGTAATTAAAAGAATTATGTATTCTAGATGTGGAAAGATCAGTAAATCGTACTACATTATATTCTGGAGTAATGCATGGATACGATAGCGATCATGATTATTACGATGATGATGATGACTGGCGCATCCCTGGACTCAGCTATCGTGAAAGTTATAAGCGAGCTTTTTTATCTTCACCGTGGAGTGGAAATAATGATGACTAGTAATTTGAATAATTTTACAAACTGTTTTTCATTTAATTTGTGAACTAACTTATTATTATAAATTTTCAAATGTATTAAATAAAAATTTTCAAACAAAACATTTGATTCAATTCAAATTCTATCTATCATTGATTAAGTATTCATCAGCAAAATATCTGAAACATTTTCAAAAACAAACTCGGCAATCATTATTACGATAGTCATAAATATAGTTATTGTTAGTATTATTTGTTGAGATATATCGCATAAATCTCCATTAATGTCAGAATATGATAATGCAATTTTTTGCCAAATACCAACTATGTACACGAAATCCACTATACATATACGAATAGCAATCCATTTTATAAGTTTTCTTTTAGTAACAGTAGTAAAAGAACAATTGATAGCTCATGATAAAATAAAACAGAGTTCACTGATACAATTAATAGATAATAGCACTAGAACTGGCATCTAGTTCCTTGTAATCATGGTTTAAATTGAAGACAAAAACATGTGTCGAAATAAACGACTTCTGCTTTGAACAAAATAGAAAGGGCACCCCCGATTTTCAAAAAGTTCTCCAAATTCGATGAAATTTAGGCTACTAATAGGGGTCACTGAGATACATCGATGGTAAAAGTTTCAGCTCAAAAGGCTTTGATATAGCTGAGTTATAGTGAGAACATGACATTTCAGAAAACAGCAGAATATGATTCAAAGGTAATAGCTGATGTCGTTTATTTCAAAATATAACAAAATGATTTACATATAGCTGGATAGAGGGTCAAATGTTCTATAAGTTGTATTAATTTTGAAGTTTTGAACTACTTTTAAAACTGGTTAGGTGGTATCAGGCGTCCGCCTCGATTTTCAGGCGCGATGCACATCTCTGCTTTGAAGAATAGGAGCCTTAAGTTTCTCGGTAAATGAGTAAACTATCTGCAGAGAAATGAAAAGATCAAAATAGTATATTCAAACTCTTTCATGTCGCTGACAAAGAAGTAAATTGAATTTTTTGAAAAA